GTTTTTTTACTACATCAGTGGAAACATGCTGCCGAGCAGAGAGAAAGTATTCAGATATTTTTATTTAAGTAGTAGTAGTACCTCACAGAGAAAACACTACAAGTAAAATTATTATTATTAACAATTTTAAGTATATACATATGTTATTACCTTGTGTGCAGCATTTTGTGCTGTGGCTGGTTTAATAAAAGCTCATTTAAATTTTTTTTAGAATGGTGTAAACTATAAAAATACATCATTGTTAATGAGCTGATATGTTTTGAATGTAAAAAATGTTCAAATGTTCAAAGTCAGCAATAACTACAGTTGTCGAATAAATATATAAAGTTACAATATTTACTGTATCTGGGAAATGCAGTAGAGCAGGAGTATGAAATCACATATAATGCAAATGCTCTTGTACAAGTACTGTACGTCGAGTAAACTTGTTTGACTGATTGATTCCACCACTGATTTCCAATATGGTGAGACACTTTCCAGTGTGAAACCTACTTATGAGGTATCTACACAAAGTTACGTCAGCGTCAGTGATGCTGTGACAAAATTATAATTATTTTGTTCTGTTATTCCACTTTAATGTGGATTCAGAGAGGATTAATACACAGCCTTATAGCACCAACTGGAGTCCAGCACCAGTCAGTATCAGGCTCTGTTTGCAGCAGTAGACTGATTTCCTTCCAGCTTCCTGCAGCTCAGTCCAACACATCTAGAGGAAAGAATGACAGCAGCAGCTCTGCAGAGCCAGAGAGTGAGATAACCAGGCTGTGTTTTTTTTAAATTCACTGTCATAACTGCTCTTTCACACACTTCTTATTATTGACTCACACAGCAGCACACCTCTTTATAATGACTTTATCAGAGCTTTATTAAAAAGGGCAGTTAACCTGGAATATACCAGCTCTAATAAACAAAGACTGAGAGCAAACAGAAGGTGCACCTTGAGGATTGTCTGGTTTCCTGGTAAGTCACATGACAGTCAGTGTTGATATGAGAGATAGAAATGAACAAGAGTCTTACCTCATTTGACTTAAACAATTACAGTGACAATCCTGACAGGTGGAAAGTGATCATATTTTAAAAGACTGTAGCTGCTACTAACTTGATTTGTTGTTGATGACAGTTTAAGAGAAGATACTGTACATCTTCTAACTGACTGCACCAAAAGGCATCTGCACCATTCACTGAGGCTGACATATTTATTTGGGCTGACCATGTGTGTGTGCAGCACTGAAGAAGTCCTGCTCTTATAGTGAAGTGAATCTGTACAAAACCAAGGTTGATACTAAATGTACAGATGCAAGCTTACAAAATACAAAACATACATAAATATGAGCTTGTTACATCTGCCTGCGAAGGACTGGCAACCTCTCCAGGGTATACCCCGCCTTTTACTAAATGTACAGATGCAAGCTTACAAGCAGTTTACTCAGTAACAGCTGTTACAGTTTTTCTCAGTCACTTTGGTACATTTCTCAGATCAGAATTGAAATTTGCAAATAAGTATGTGCATTTCTTAAAACAATTTGTACAAACAGCACAACACTATGGATTTCCTGCAAAAGCCTGTAACTTGCTCAAAATCTTTAGTTCATCTCTCAAAACTAAGTTTTTATGTCAATGAACATGTCAGTGCCATCAGAATGACAAGTCCTTGTGTCATTGTGTACGGATAAGACAGTCAAATTGCTTAGTCATGTTGTCAATATAACCGTGTACTTTGGAGGGAGGTTCTGATGAAAACTATGGCTACAGTTTTGATGACAATTATTGCAAATTGTAGGTTACACCTTAGTGTATGTGGGAGTTTGCAAGAGACTGGACAAGATTCACATTTACACTTTTATTGTTTGTATTGTAATTCGTTGACAGACCATGTCATACCAATATAGAAAGGAAAACACAACACTGCATAGCACAAAGAAAGAAAAAAAACAAAAGTAAAAAATGTGAACATAGGACAATATCCTTAGGGAAAAACTGTACATGCAGTGCTGTAGGAATTACAGTGCAGTCTTCCTACACCTCCTGACGTTCCTTTTTTTTTATCCTGACTTCATGTGCCTTCGCTGCTCTTTAAACTACTCTGGAATGGTGTTAATTAGTAAAAAAATAAAAGTGAATTTAGACTCAAATCAGATAGTTTTGAAGGGTTGATGGGGACGTGGCGGAGGCTCAGACAGATCTTTGTGGAAAATAAAAGCGTTTCTCAGCGTGACTGATTCAGGAGATGCTGCTGTTATGGTCACAGTCAGAGAAGTGTGACAGAGCTGCTGTGCATGAATGGATGATTTCCACATTGTGCCTGTGGAATCCCTCTGAGGAAGACTTTATACCCAGTCCCTGTCCAACTGTATATATTGATTGTTGCAATTCATGCAACATGGCAGTTCAGGGGAACATTTGTACATTGTTTAGTTTACCATCTCTTTTGCTGGGCTAACGTGAAAATCGATATTTGTTGCATTAGTTTTGTGAGCAGCGTTCAGTTTGTCAAACATCGATTTGTTCTTTGGTATTTTTTTCTTTTGGCTTAACTTGGAGTTAAAGGATAAAGTTTCTCCATAGTTTATACTGTGTGAGCTCACATACACAACTGCCCATGTTCTTTAGATTCAGTGAAGGTAAAGCTTTTAACAAATAGGCCTCCATGGACAGAGGCAGCCGTGTGTCTCTTTACTGGAGAAAGAGAAAACCGAAGTAGAGGAGTCCTGCTTTGGAAAGCCCTAATGGGCTTCTTCACAGCTCTCCAGGATAATGACCTCTTCAGCTTGCCAACAATTTAAGTGATCTCTAGTTAATTGGGCAGGAACCTTGAACACGTCGGTGTTTTCCCCATTTGACCTTCTTTTTATCCATTAGCAGTCTTTCTGTTACACACTGTTCAGAGAAATTCATCTGCAGGGTTGAGTCTTTGTAGAAATTACTTAGTTCTCACAACTTTATCTTGCTTTGGTTGACAAAAAAAAAGTGAGATGCCAGCACAGATTTGGCAAATTTATCCTTTGTATTGTGAAATGCTGCATAGATTTGTCTCATTTTAAGATGTGTTCAAATAAACCAGTCTTAGTGGTTATAGATCAATCATTATGTCGTACTCAACTCATCGACATAAAATAAATATGTGTAAATTATGATCTGTGTCAGAGCCACTGATCTTAAATGTTCTTTGGAGGGAAAACTGAAAGTGTGCAAGCAAATGTGTAAAGGTCACACTTACTGTACTGTATATCACTATACGATGTTGTACTGTTTACTGTGAGGTACAGTTGCTGCATGCTCATGCATGTTTTACCTGTACATACTGGTAGCACAGCTCCTTCACTCTTTCACCATTTCTTTTGAATGGAACAGTGTACAGCTGCTTCATATTCATTTGGTGTCTTTTCAGCACCCTGTCAATGGTTGAGATGCTGACTGTTTGAATGTTTGCAAAGATGTTGTTGTCCTCTATAATGGCACTCCTTATCTCCCTTAGCCTTATGGCACTGTTTTTTACATCCATGGTGCAAATAGCCTCCTCCTGTTCAGGTGTGAAAAAGGGCCCTCTGCCATGTGAAGTTGTGTGTCTTGCAGTCCTATGTGGAATAAATATAGTAATGCAAAATACAAATCCAGGAAGATAACATGTCACTGTATAAAGTATAGGCCTACTTACTGTATATTGTAAAATGCAAGTGGAATACTGTAATATTGTATGAAGCATTACAGAACAGTGCCTATTGTTAGATTACATACCTGTTCTGTCGACAAAAAATCTGAATGATTGAGGACACAGTTGTTCTCCCAACATTTGGCTGCCCCCTTCGACCAGGCTCAGCCATTGTAAGCCCATGATTGACAACGTGGTCTACAAGTGTGGCTC